AATGTTTAACAACTTCTAGTCTTCTTTCGATATCATAAAATTGATGTGTGGCAGTGGCACTATCATCCACATAGAAATTAGTGAATCTCCATGTTACATCTCCCAAACTCCAAAGTCAACTTTGACTATATAAGTCACATACACCGACACGGCGACGCCCAAATACGCCTATACGCGTATGTATAAAGTGCATACGTATCGATCATCTTCATTCACGAATGGCTATATGCTACGGTCCATTGTAATTGTATTATCTAGTGGGTCCAAAATATATATGTTGAATAAATTCGTACAAGAGAAACTCTAAGATGCTATTTTTTGGGTCAAAACACCTATGCGCCTATGTAATCAATCATATTCATGCATTGGTATTAACTCTCCATAAACGATAATTATGCAATTGCAATTATCTTAGTCCTTTTTTTACGCATTCTCCCCTCTACAATAACCGGATTACATTCTCACTCTATTTGTGTGGCCACTAAAATTGATGGAATTAATCTATTTTAAATTTAAAAAATTTGTTATAAATTTTCTTCATAAAAAACAACAATCATATTAGATAAGAAAATTATTGTTCTGCATATTTTATATCTGAAAATTGCTATTTTTTTATCTTCCCCTTTAACAAAAAAAAAAGTTGATTTTATAGAAAATTTTATCATCCATTAAAAACAGCTAACTTGGAAACAAAATTTCTATTTGCAAACATGATCATATAGAACACCACTTTTTGTGCATCCCCAGCTTTAATTAGCTTGAAATTGATGGCATCATACTACTCAATCGTCCAAATAAATTCGTAAAATCAATATCGGTTGTGAACGCCACAGTAGTTCACTAGATTCGTAGCTAATCCTGAACTCTTAAAGATTTGTATGGTTCTATTTCTGATATGTGGTTAATTTATTTGAATAAAAAATGAAGAAACACGTCTAACCAACTTATGTCCTAAAACATATATTCACTTTCATACAGAGATGTTGTGCAATTCAAACTTTATATACTAAGATATACATGCTCTCATATGAATTCACATATTAACCAAGCTTCCGGGTAAATTTTGCATACTAGAGTGACATGCAAACTTATATATCATTGTCATTACTAAGGTTAGTTAAAATTATAAGTTATGTCTAGATGACAAGAGCACAATGTAATTTGTAATTACTAATCAGAAATCTGTCTTAGTTTATATCTAGATAACTAGAATATTGTTTTCTAGTCCGCAAGAATATTCCTGTTGTTTATAAATTAGTATAACTCTCATTAATCTAATGCGATGACGAGTTCATTACGCATTACTTATAATATTTTATTAGTTTTATATAATATGTCGGCAGAGTGATTTACGGTTAATCACCCCTTGGCTCATTTCGTTTAAAACATTTTGAAGACCGAAACTCCGCAATCGTATACAATTTCATTACATCTTCAACATGCATATCGATCGCAGCATTACTCTTCCTTCTAGTTATTTATTATGATGGTTGATGAACATATAAGATCCATATATCTATATAGATCATATCGTATGAATTGTTTATGTCAATCTACAATCTGTAATGGAGCTTCGTCTGAAGTATTAAAATGACACTTAAAGTCCCTGGCCTTTGGAATTCCGACAAAAGTTATAATGATAGTATGTTTTACATTTATAAATTACTAGTCAGTACGTATTGGTTACTAGCGATTTAACAATGTAAAGTAAGTGCTAGGTTACTTCTTTTTTTGTTGGTAAAATGTGTTTAGTCTTTCAAACATAAATTAAATAGAACAGTGAGTTAAAAATTCTCATAGAAACAGAACACAAATTGGAAACTTCAATGATGCTACTCTATGATATCTTTGTGATTTATTCACGTTGATAAAGCATAAACCAAGATCTTAATTAAACTTAGTTAGCTGTTATAACGAAAGAAACAAAAGTTTAAAATGAATTATAAAAGTGAAACTAGGTCTAGACAGAACTATGATGAGGTAATAATGAAGTTGGTAAGGTTAGGAGAATCTGGTTGGGTTTGATGAACATGAAAGAAGAATATCAACGTTTCAACAACCAAAGCAATGAAGTGGCCATTCTATGAACGTATCTTTTTATTAAAAAAATGATTTTTTATAACTCAATATACACCAATAAGCAATGTCATAACTGTAGAAATCCTATAATAATAAATACAGTATTATATAAGATCGGTGGTCGTGCGCTTTTTATCTAAATTTTTTTAAACTGTTGTTTTTTACAAGTAAATTAATGATTTGCATACCTAGCTGGCAAGCCACATCAGCACATTATACATGGTACATATTTTTTCCATTTTACAAAAAATGTCAGTTTTAATTTTTTTTTTTTTTTACAAAAAGTATCATTTGTATTTTCAATATAATTTTTTTAACACAAATGCAATTTTAACCTTATTATATTACTGTATTAATTAAAACAATTGTTTAATATATTTGCTAAAGATAAAAAAGACTTTTTATTATCTTTTTCAATATATGTAAAAAAAAAGAATAACATTTTGTTGAAATAGAGAAAGTATATATTAAATGACAAATTAATAACATTTCTGTTTTTACTTGGTTTTCTCCTCCTCCTACTTATACAAACGATTCTGTTTTTACTTGTACACAAAAGTCTCTAATTTTTTTGGATATATCTAACACCCATAAGGGTCTTGGATGAAGATGAAAGTAGTAGGAGGAGAAAACCAATTTGCACATACTTGTTTATATAATTGCATACTTGTATATATAATAAAATGATGCATGTATAATAACATCATTTTTATCAAGAAATCTTGAAGATCTTTTGTTTAACCGATATAAGTAACAAAGTTCTTTTTTTATAAAGAGTCTGTATAAATAATTTGCAAAAATGTAAATGGGACAACATATATTCTCTTTCCAATACAAGTCTGCATAATCCAGGTAATTTGCCTTTGCAACTCGAGAGGCAGTATTTTATTTATCACTACATTATTATTGCATTATTAATTTCTACTTGTTTGCTTTTGCTTAAACAGGACGACATACTTTGCTCAGCCATGACGGTCTTAAGTAGCAAATTATGTTGATATAATTAATAATCTTATTTGAAATTTAATATATTTTGGCTAATATTATACAACTCGTTTTAATCTTGTCGGACTTATTTTCTATTTGGACAATTTACATGATGTACATTGTTATATCGATCCAAGATGAACTGGATAAATTTTAACTATAAATTAAGATTTCTAAACTGGGGGCAAAACTCTTTTCAACTGTAATTGCAATTTCCATAAAACCGAATGCAATTATTACGGATGACTCCAACTTTTAATCTGATGTTATTAAAGGAACGTTAAACCCAAAACTCGTATGATTTCAATAAAATTTCTATGATTATGACAAAGAGTAACAAATATTCATTCCACGTATGTGTGTGCTGCCAAACAATCACAGAGTAGTAAGAGACATATAACAAATAAGAAAAAGAAGTTTTTAAAAAAACTATTTATTATTAAACGAATAATTAAGGTATCAAACAACTGGAAATTAAGTTGTAAATGTGACAGATAATTGAGATCAAAGGATTATAGTTCGAATCTGATCAAAGGGCAAAGCGAATGGGGAACATGCCGCGTAGTCATCATGCAGATATGTGGGCTCCAACAAAGCATGTACCACAAATATTTAAAAACTACAAAATTAAAGTGAAATCTACGCATAACGAATATAATTATTGACTGAAAGCAAATAATCAGAAGATGAGACTGATGGATGTAATTAGAAAATCTATTTTTATGATTTTTATTATTCCCCAACTTAGTCATTGCCGGTAGTTAACTATGCATGTAAAGAAAAACGAAAATAAATCAAATGCAGATGAAGACGAATAAATTCTAAGAATACTATCATCATCATTATTATATAAAAACTTAATTAACAAAAATTCTGTATAAATAGTTTTATGTAATTCACAAATGACTTCGTTTTATATATGATTATTGTTTCAACGTTTCAACAATTATATTGATTTTAAATCGAATTTGTAGGAGTACATAGAGCTAAAATACTACACAAACCATCAGTTATAAGAAGTAGTTTAATTTTAGAAACGAATATAATTTGTTTTATATATGAATATTTTTTTTATGTGTTCTAGATTTTAAGAATTGTTATTTTAGTTTCAAATAACTTCAAATTTCTCAATATAAACAAATATAAAGTCTTGCAATGGTATTTAAAGAAGAACTATTAGTTAAAAATAAATTCAAAAACATTAGTGTAAAACGTCCAAACGAAGTGTAATATTAACTTTGTACTGAAATTTGAACTCAGATGAAATAGTACTAATTGGATTGATTAACTTGTCTATCTAAAAGTAAAAACCCGTAATTTCAAAAGATAAAAAGTACATAATTGCATGACAATTTGTTGTATCAACTAAAAAATGACATCAGATAGTAATTCAGAATTGCAAAGGGAAAGAAAGAATTATAATAAACTCACCATAAAATTGATAAATCCTCCTCACCACAGTCACATAGATCTATGGGAACAAAGTGCTAATTAATACTTTATTATTACTAATTTTGTAAATTTATACTCCTTGGCATGGGCAGCAAAAACAAAGATCTAAAAAATGATAACAATAAATGGGCAAATATATTATTATTACCATACTAGGAAATACTTATGCTCGTGTGGATTAATAACTTAATAGATTTAATTACCGAATAACTAAGAAAATAAATAAAATAAAGACAGAGAGGTTAAATAAAGAGAAAGGCATGGCAAAACAGTCACACAAAGATTCGTGCCTCTTCCAAAAACTCTCTATTCCCTTCGGACAATCCATCTTCTTCCCTATTGTCTCTTTCTTCACGGATTTCAATAAAACCTTTGATCCCTTCTCTCTCTTTTTTTTTTCTGATTAAATAATTATTCATCTCTTGTACTTTATTTCCCCCGTCTCTTCTTCACGGTAGAGAGACTTCCACAGGTTTCCTTGAATGTTCTGTGTGTGTAGTAAACTCTCTACCACAGCTACTTCTTAGGGATGTGTTTGTTCCAATTTCGAAGAAACCAAGTGAAGACGAACCAACCCATGTATGCAATTTTTAATTTTTGTTTAATTTAATTTGATTGATGATGCTCGTGTTGACGCATTTTTGTTGCGGATTTGTTTCTTAGGATCTAAAAATGAGATCTTTCCACTTTCTAGTGCTAATTCAGCTTCTCTGTGTGCTGAAACCTCTTTTCCTTCTCTCTTTTGATGGGGTTTGGTTCCTTGCTTACACATTTATCGACCACATAAGTTGTTTGTGGAAATGCCTCAGAGAGAGAGAGAGAGAGAGGGAGAGAGAGAGACTAGATTCAATGGGTTTTGGATTGAGATTGATGTTTAACTCTTAGATTTTATATTAAAACTGGTTTCTCTCGGTCTCTGTGATTGCTTATTTTGTAAACTTCTTCAATATATTTTTAAAATATTATTACTAAATTTATTTATATATATAAAAGCCATTGTAGGTTGCTTGGTTGGAAGCAAAACTGGCAGTTGGGTAAATTCCTTTTTTGAGAGAGAAAGAGAAAAAGCATTCTCCTTTAAGCTGTGTGTTTCATGGATTGAGAAACGCTCAAGGAATAATGGATTACTTATCTCAAGAGGAAGATTCGATGTTCTTCGATGCCAAGGAAGAGATGGTTGCATCAAAGCCAAGTGCTTTCGGTTTCCATCTATGGAATGATTCACCTAAGAGCGTGGTGGAGCGTCGGAGGAAGTTCTTGGAGTGGATGGGAGTCGAAGAAGATGTTGTTCAGTCGAAGAGTTTGGATGTTGAATCCGGTTTAGATGTAGGAGCTCAAAAGAATTGCGTTGAAGCTGAGCAGAGATCTGAAGGATTCAGCAGCTCCTCTAGCCTGTCTTCGTCTAGCTCAAGCGTTGAAGTTTCAGAGGAATTGTCTCTGAGGGTGGATAAAAACGTTGGTGGATGCGATGTAACGAGAAGACAAAGCTCTTCAATGGCATCATGTTCTGGTTCTAGGTGTTGCCAGGTGAAGGAAACAGAGAAGCAGAGCAATGTCGCTGGTCTAATCACGAGTTTCAAGAAAGGATGGTTCGCGAGGCTGCGGTCTATGGGATGTACCGCTGATACAAAGGTCGAAACCAGCGGTCGAACCAGAGCTTCTTCTGGTTCTGGCCATGGTGATGTGATTTCAAGAGTTAAGGTGAAGCATTGTAAGAAACAGGCGAAGGAGCTTTCAGCTCTTTATCAGAGTCAAGACATTAAAGCACACGACGGTTCCATCTTGGCTATGAAGTTTAGCGGCGACGGGAAGTATCTCGCGAGCTCTGGTGAAGATGGGGTCGTGCGCGTTTGGAAAGTCGTCGAGGATAAACGATCTAGGCTCAGAAGGGATTGCCTCAACGAGATAAACCCTTCGTGTATGTACTTTGAGGTAAACGATCTTTCACAGTTGAAACCGGTTTTGTTGGGTGAGGTGAAACCGAACAAGACTACAGAAAGTTTCAGGAAAACATCTGATTCGTCCTGCGTCGTCTTCCCTTCTAAAGTTTTCCGGATAATGGAGAAACCGTTATACGAATTCCGCGGCCACACTGGTGAAGTCTTGGACATCTCATGGTCAAATGATAATGTAAGCTATTTTGCATTTTCCTTATTTACTTGCAACCATTCCTTTAATGGAAGTTTAGAAAAATAAAACTGAGGCATTTTATTCAATGGTGTAGTATCTTCTCTCGGCGTCAATGGATAAAACTGTTCGGCTATGGAAAGTCGGTAGCAACGACTGTCTTGGAGTTTTCGCTCACAATAGCTATGGTATGCTTCTTCTTCTTCTTCTTGGTGATTACATTTCTTTTATAGTCTCAGTTACTACATTGGTCTGACATTGTCTTTTTGCAGTAACCTCTGTCCAGTTCAACCCGGTGAATGAGAATTACTTCATGAGTGGTTCCATTGATGGAAAAGTTAGGATTTGGAACATTTCTGGTTGCAACGTTGTTGATTGGGCCGATCTCAAAGACATTATATCGGCCGTGTGTTATCGTCCGGATGGACAGGGAGGAATCATCGGTTCTCTCACCGGAAAATGCAGATTCTTTAGCATGAATGGAGAATATTTAGAACTGGACTCTCAGATACATTTGCATAGCAAGAAGAAGTCTTCAAATAAACGGATAACTGGTTTTCAGGTATTAGTCTCTCTCTCTGTTTTCACTTGGTCTTGATGCTTTGTTTACTTCTCTTGACATTTGTGAGATTTTAACTAATCGATATGCATGTTTCTTTTTTCCAGTTTTTACCACAAGACCAGAGCAAAGTTCTTGTTGTTTCTGCGGATTCCAAAGTCAGAGTTCTTCAAGGCAACAATGTTGTTAAAAAATACAAAGGTATGTTGTTTCTTATGTGCTTTAAGCTTTCATTTTCTTTTGTATATCTCTATGATGAATCCTAAACTAAGTTTTTTTTTTTGTTTAATCTTCAGGCGTTTGCAAGACGAGAAGCCTCACATCAGCGTCTCTCACGTCTGACGGAAAGCACATAGTTTCAGCTTGTGAGGACTCCAATGTATATATATGGAGCAATGAGGAGGAATCAAATTCTTCTTCTTCTTCTTCTTCTTCTTCCCAAACCAAAAAGATCCGATCTTTCGAACGTTTCTCCACCAACGCATCAGTTGCAGCAACATGGTGTGGTTTCTCAGATCACAACAGCACAACTCTCCCGTTTTCCTCACCTTCTTGCTTATCACTCAACGAAGGATTCGTCCCTGGATCGATCTCCAAAGGAAGCGCGACATGGCCAGAGGAAAACCTACCCGCGGACCCTCTGTCTAAATCCGCAATGACTGCATCTCATTGCAAGTTCCTCAAGTCCTCTTACCAGAGAGCAACTAGCTCTCTTGCTTGGGGTATGGTCATTGTCACAGGAGGTTGGGACGGAAGGATCAGAACATTTCAAAACTATGGCTTGCCTGTGGCTACAACAACTTGAAAAAGAAAAGAAAAAACGGTTTCTTTTTTTACTTTCCTAACTTGGGAAAAACAAAACCAAATGCCATTGTTCCTTTCTTGCTAGGCACAAGCACATGGTTCTGTGGCAGGAGGTCTTACTATGGTGGTGGGGTCCAAAAGAAACCATTTCTGAGATTGATGCTATTTGCTCAAGAGTCAAAAAGGAGATTCAAGAATGTGTTTTTGAAAGTCTCGTCTAGATTATATGATCCTGTAGAGAAATCTTGCGGTCAGTGGGAGATTTTCTTCCGATGGGGGTTTGATGTAGACGCAGGAGATGATAAGGAACAGATGTTTCTTTATTTGGCAGGAAGTGGCGGTTGGAGATGGTTTCAAAGAGTACGGATCTGTCTGAAAATTTTGACAGGCTGAGTCTGAGTGTGGGGTCCAATCAAAGAGGCAAGTGATCATGGAAAAGGAGTGGTTGAAGGAGAAAGATGTTGATGTTACTTACCTTCCACAGGAAAAGATCCTCCATTGATATCTTCTTTGATCCTCTTTCTTTGGGGGGGTTATGTGATAATGATATGAATAGAAAATTTCTAACGGCAGTGAGAAGTTTTTTTTGTTTTGTCCATTCGTTGATTCGGTGTAATTTGATTCTAACTTGTAGATGAGTTTATTTGTTTAGATTTGATTTTCACTTACTATTATTAGAGAGAAAAATCAATTGATTGTAAGTTTCATCTCCACTTGAGAGAGAGTGGCTCCGAGGCTTTGTGTTTGTAAATTTTGTTTGTATACAGCAAAACCTTTTTGAATTATATATAAGTTAGTGTAATCATTATTCTAATCTTAATGGCATTAACAAACTTCGATAAGTTAAATATATTTTTTTCCAAAAAATCGCTATGTAGATATATGGCCCTATTTATATACTATCAGAGAGTTGATAATTACAAAAGTACACAAACGTACTCACATCATACTTCTAGGGTTTTTACTAAATTTAAATGAATGAAACTGGAAAAAAAAATCTGATAAAGTACAACAAAAATCTGATAAAAAAAAAATAAAGTAAAAAAAGCTGGAAAGAAAAAGCACTGAAATTTTGTATGTGCTTTTATGTTATTATACGGAAAACCGAAGAAAATATTTATTTTCTAACTGGGCCAAAGAGTATTCGGCCCAATGAAAATCCGACTTAAAACGCTACAGTCTCTCTGATCTGTCATGCCACGTCATAGGCATGATCCATAACGAATTGTGATAACTCGCGGCTATCATGAAACCACAAGGCAAAGCTCAAAATCTCAGCACTCATGGCTTCGCTTCCGGTTCAGTTCACCAGAAATAGTCTCTCTACACCGTATTTCTCCGGTAGAATCCGGCGTTCCGCTTTCACGGAGCCGAGGTCTTTTGTAACTGTACATTGCTCCGGTAAATGCCTTAATTTTCGCTGCCTTTGATTGTTTCTGCTACTTCTAGGTTTCGCGATTCTTCGAATTCCCAGAAATTTCAGTAGATTCAAGTATCTATAGTAGCTTCATCGGAGACTGAAATCATCTGTGTACCTGGGTTTTATCTTCGGTCTCAAACCCAAAATTTTGCTATAAAACTTTCCATGATTTGATTCCCATAGGGAAGATCATTGTTATGCCAAAAAAATCGTGCTTTATTCATTGAATGTGAATGATGTTCTGTGATTTGAATTATGCTCTCACAGTTAGAGAAAACGGAGACGATGGCCAAGGATTCAAGAAGAGTCTGTTTCCTGTTAAGGAGCTTGGATGTATCGCTTGCGCCGTTATCTCTGCTTGCACTCTTACAATGGCTTCTCCTGTAATTGCTGCTAATCAGGTACAGTCACATCATGTCTCCTTCTCTTTTGAACAATGGCTAATTCAAGTGTATGCATAAGAAACTTGGATCATCATGTTAGTAATGTCTCATTTTGTCTTCTACATAGTAATTATGCAATGACGGTTAAAGATTGCAATGTCTCAAAGTTTCAAGAACTGAGTGATGATGGTTTGTTGCAGAGACTTCCTCCGCTATCAACAGATCCAAACCGGTGCGAACAAGCATTCGTTGGTAACACGATAGGTCAAGCAAATGGAGTCTACGACAAACCACTCGATCTTAGGTTCTGCGACTACACGAACGATCAATCTAATCTCAAAGGCAAGACTCTCTCTGCAGCACTGATGTCAGGAGCCAAGTTTGATGGCGCCGACATGACTGAAGTCGTTATGTCAAAAGCTTATGCCGTAGGAGCAAGCTTCAAAGGTAAAGCTACAACGGTCTTATGTATGTAGCCATTAATAAATCTAGAAAGCATATAGCAAATTTGGGATTAAATGCTTTGAAGTTTGATGTTTGCAGGGGTGAATTTCTCGAACGCTGTTATTGATAGGGTGAATTTTGGGAAATCGGATCTGAAAGGAGCTGTGTTCAAGAACACGGTGTTATCAGGTTCGACATTCGAAGAGGCAAATCTGGAGGATGTGGTCTTTGAGGACACGATCATTGGTTACATAGACCTTCAGAAAATTTGTAGGAACGAGACAATAAACGAAGAAGGAAGACTCGTGTTGGGTTGCAGATAGAGAAGAAGAAGAGAGAAGAAGGCTTTGTTTTGATGTATAATATATACAATGTGAGGAAATTGAGATTTGACACAAAGAATGTATGAAGAAAGTACGTAAAATGTTTGAAGGAATAGGACTCAGGAGAGTTATGAGGTTGTATAATTTAATTCTTGTAAATTCTGTAACCAAACAAAAAGGCTTTTCTCTGTTCTTCGTTCATTTACATACACATATTTATGTGTTAATGTGTGTAGATCATATGTATGTCTTTTATCAGCCGAACTAAAAGCTAAGGTCAGTTTCTACACACTGATAAATGTACTGACAGTAAAAATGAAGATATGTCAAAAAATAAATTATAAAACTAAAATGCAAAATGGATGCGCATCCAGGGAATCGAACCCTGGTCAGTACCGTGGGAGGGTACTATGATACCACTACACCAGATGCGCTTTTCGTTGTTCCTATTCAATTATTTATTTACTTATCACTTATCTATGTAAACACAGAAATTTTTGGGATATATTTTTTGTTTTGTTTGAATGTTAAATGTTGAGGCTGAAATGAAAAAGTATATAAAACGCTATGAAAATTATAATACATCGCTATTATAATACGTTTGAGACTAAGTTAAGTTAAATAGTGACCGTAATTTGGTAAAACGTCCAACTAATTGGTTAGGAATCTTACTAATCAGCTACATCCGAGTGTATATACATACAGAAAATTAAACTAAGTTGGTTTTAAGCATTTAATAAACGACCTAGGCGCTAAAAAGTTTGTCGAACTCAGTTAGCGTCTACCGCATTTTCAAACAATGAAATTAAGGAAATCTGTTTGTTCTATTGGTCATCTCATGAATGATGTGTATAGGGGAGAATGCACACAATCTAGATTGACCATTCTATATTAATTTGAGCCCATCACAAATAAGAATATAATTATTTGAAACTGTCTCGTCAAAAGAAAAAAAAAAGATTTAGGATAAAGGAAACGTTCTAAATCTTAGAAAAATGAGATTTTCCAATTAAGAATTGGAGGAGGAGTTCGATGTAACCGACCTCCTATACATATATATAGAGAAGAGATCATAGCTTGGAGAATAATCCAAAAATCTTAAGAGAGAATAGCAAAAAAAGACTTAATTCAATAAAAAGGTTTCTGTTCGAATCTTTAGAAGCTTTTTACTTTCATCTCGGCTGAACATTCTTGTTCACGCTTTCTCTTGTAATCTTTAAACCCCAAGCTAATTAAAAGATCTTATTCTGTAAATTTCTAAACCGTTATTTACTTATTCGATTAGGTAGATTTCTGGTTCAACATGATAGAACTATAATGTTCATTTTAATCCTCTTAACGAAAATACATAGAACGCATCGAGCTAGTGATGCTCGAATAAAAGCCATAACTCTTTATTTAATATCCGATATAACGAAGTACATAGAAGATAGGGACTACATGATATATATGTTAATAAAACAAAACAAGATGATAATAATTAACTAATGATTTAGTATATCTTGTCACTAGTCCTCCTTTCACGAAGCGTTTCCGAAGGGTATTGTACACTGATCTCATCCTCAAACAAAATGTCAGGATAGGAGGATACATACATACATACATACTTTCATATAAATATAGAAAGGGAGATAAGTTGGTGCTGAATGATTCAAGGTTTGCCTCCGGGCCTCCTTCTTGGGTCGTGCTTAGGGTTGGGACCTGCGTCGTCGTAGTCTGCCGTCGAGTGGAACATCAACTTCCTGTGGCTCATTATCTTCTTCACTTCCATCTTATCGCTCTTTATAATTACAAAACCATATAAATGTAATTATCAGTATTTGTGCACCAAACAACATTCATATATAATATTTTGTATGCACATACAAACATAAAATACATTACCTTGTGAAGCATGAAACTCTCATGCATCTTTGCGCCTCCGAGCTGGATAGAGCCTTCCACTTTAGCTAAGAGAAACTTTGTATCAGCGGAATTCACATTCTATTTTTTTTTTATATAAATAATCTATATAATTAAAAAAGATTATTTCATTGCAACACAAACAACTTAGTATAATAGTAATGATTGATGAATGCATTGTATATTAAGGTACGATTCAACTATGAATAAGAGAGGAATGTGCCAACAGATAATGTTAGGGTGAAACCGTGAAAGGACGATGATGAGTATCCCTTTATACAGAGTAAAAATTGAAAAAAGATGGAATAGAATATTTACCAAATGACGAAGAGCAAACTATGAGGAGTATGAGGAAGAAGAGAGATAAGGGTTTGATCCTTAGAGGCATGTTATGGTTTTTGATGAGTAATCTATGTTGGTTTGTTACTCTTGCTCCGCTTAAAGGAGATGGTATATTAATTAAGAAGAAATGGGTTTTGATATGAGAAGAGGCGAGAAGGCTAGTTTCCATTTTATAAACGGTCAAGTTTATGTGGTGGAAACTGTTTCGGTCCATATAGAATTCGGTCGTGATGGTGATGATGATGACCATGACTAAGATGGTTGGTTCTGTTTATGATAATGAAAACATGTAAAGCCCTTATCAAAATAATTTTTCAAAATGATCCCCAATATCAGTAAAAAAAAAAAGAATTTGCATAAATAAGAGATCACGTGAATATCGATATATTTTATTGCAAAGAAAAAAGAAGTTTAAAACAGTGGTCAGACTAACATCAAAATTATGGTGATAGTCGCAAGAAAAGAAGAAGAAGAGAACAATGAGATGAAACCAGATGATATTGGGATAATGCAATGAACCCACAAACCCTAGAAAAAGCTAAAGAAAGTCAACTCAGCTGTTGATTGTGTTACGTCTCCCAAAAAGGATATTTAACGCTTACCTCTTTATTTATGCTTGTGGAGAAACCAATAACCAAACATTTTTTTTTTGCATGACAATGCTCAAAAGTTCGATGTTTATTTTGGAATTATCTTCTAGTAATGTGAATTATATGGTAACAGATACTAGTATACAGTAGATAAAAACTTCGGGTTATTAAAACCAACGTGTCTAGTTTTATTTCCGATACAGAATATTTTGTTTACGTCTTCAACATCCTCATATTTATTAGAGTTTCTTAAACATTTTATAAATAACAAGATGTCGTCTAAAATGGATGAAGACCACTCGAAATCAATTGATATGGCTGATGACTTACCACACACTGTTTTTTTATATAAAGTTTTAAATTATATACCCCCTTAGTTTTTTTAAACAATATTAGTTTTATCTTCTTCTAGTTTTTTTTGTTTTTACCTTTCATATTGGGTCTCACTTATCGAATCAATTTCTTCTTATATCTTAGTGCTATTTTATTCTAGACGAATTTAAACGACTTTAGTCAGAAGTCAGAACCAACATTTTTTCTAAAGAACAAGATTCATTTGGATTCATTGATTTTTACCTATGTTTTTAACTTTTAAGCCCATTGGTTTCACCACTTTTCACCCACACAGCTGTAATGTATTATAGGTTCGATGGAGTGCACCACGTGTGCTCATAAGTCAAGTCTACAAAATTTCATTGAAAATTGCATTCTGCTAAGATAATTGGGTCCATTATCAAAAAGTAAGATGGGATCATGCCAAACTCGTACGTAATTATTGTTAGTTTTATTGCTGTTAATGATTCATTACAAAAGTGAAATTTGCATAACAAGGGCAAGGGGTACATACTTTTCAACTAAAGACCCTACATATACTCGAACTTCGAGTGCAATAATTGATTTACAAGTGAAATTTGCATAACAATTTTTTTTCTTTTAACAATTGTTCGTTGTATTCAAATCGCCGATAGGGTTGATTATGAACAGACATAATCATAATAATGCATACTAAAATATACTAACCTTATTCAATAAATTCCGATAAACATGGTAGGCAATTTGCTAGCTAGGCAGAAAAGTAAACAGTTTTAAAAGTGGATCGGATAGTAATTATGAGTTCATAAAAATGTTTTAGGGCAGATTTTAAAATCCGTGGTACCAAACATTTACTAATTAGATCTAAATAAAGAGAAATAGTGGAACTAATCCTTGCATTTCGGCCTTCACAACTTTATAAGAAGTCAACTAAGATTGAGACAGACATAGCGAGTGGCCTGCAAATGTATCACCGAAGTGCATCTTTTTAAGTGACCCATTATAGTGAGAGACCACTATCCCCAAAATCTTATTTTAAATATAAGATCTTGTCTCATAATATTATGAATTTTGACCTAATATCCACAACTCTACTAAATTCCAAATAACTCTTACCCCAAAAAAACCACCTTATATGAATGGGTTATATATATCATATTTCTTTATTTAGAATCTTGAATTTTAATTTAGTGTAGAAAGTTTAAATTTTTTCCTGTTTTTCTTTGGTGATCTCTTTAATTTAACATATAGATTATTATAGTCAATTCTGTATTTTAAAGAGTAAATTATATTTGATTTATATAATTTAATATATTCATTCTAAGTTCACCCACCTAATTAACCCTCATTTTTGGCTAGGAAGTTTGCCAATGTGGCCTCTGAATGAGTGAGCTACGGTTTGATGTCTCTACGCACTCTAAGAAAAATTTACTGTATCAAGGAATTCATCTACAATCATATGTTAGTTTTTACATTATTTAGTTTTGATATGGTTTTAAGTGATTCTAATTAGTCTATATGGCCTTTGATTGTCACTATTCATTAGAGTGACATGGTAATTCAAGCGTGCCTTGTGTGGTTTTTATCTGCAAGGACAGTTTCATTAGTCCCTCGGCTTTATGTGTAACACTGCAAACTTTGAATAAAAAACATTCTTCAGGGAAAAACAAAAATTAACCCCCAAAAAGTTTTGATTATCATAAGAAATACCTAACACGTACTAACCCTTGACGACTAGTTACAGCTCTTGAGTCTTGACTAACTAACTGGTTATAAGCCAATGTTTTCTTCTAAATCGTCCGATCAGTCTAATATGTAATACTTAACCACTTTTCTGACTAGTTATGGCTCTATCGTCCGCAGCCAAACACAATATTATGCAATGACTATGCATGCATGACTTCACAAAAAAAAAGAAAATCAGTGTGTCGGCAATTCTATGTTGTGTTTAAAAGGAGTGATGTATAAATAAAATGAAGAATTGCTAAATTAAGAATGTTTTTATTGGGCAACAACGTACGTGTCTCTAGTCTTAACCTCTCTCTGTTGTGTCGAATGTCCACCACATAGGAAAAGACGAAGAAAACATGCGACTACACACAAATTTACCCAAAAAAAACCATAGCTTACTCTAAGTTAATAAAAAACCCTGCAAGGACATTTAAAGCGTAAAAGTGAATTTTTTTACACTATATCGATTTGGTGATAAATTTGGTTTCAAATTCATCGGGAAAATTAAATTAAAGGTCGGCAAAAAATTACAAACGAAAATCAACTTTGTCAAGTGTTTTTCCGATTAATTGTTATATTTATAATCAAGCGCTCTCCAAAACTTTTTAAGACAATATCTAAAATTCTATCAGTACTTCTCGGAGAAATACGTCTTTTATGGAGGCAGGACAAGAGAAGTTGCAGCAATAGTGGAGTGGAGTCAGTGGAAACAATAACTTCCTATAACTACGGTTAACCAAACCGATAGTGCTTGGACATAAACTGGCCTTTCAAGTAATAATTACATTTACTTACATAATTAAAGTATAAAACTAAAACCAGTATTTCAGTCGTGACAATAAAAGTGGTTAAATAGCAACAGACCACAATGTTAAGAGATTGGCTCCAACTTCATCACCAAAGTTATTAGCATGACCTTCTAATGGGTTTTCCTTTGGAATGTTGGTAGTTTTTAGTCTTCAAAGCTTAAAGTCTAAAGATTAAAGGTCCAAAAAGGGATTAAAGTCTTAACACATAAAGTTCAAACGCAGACATTTAAATCAACACATAATTGAGGATGAAGAAAATCGTCGCGGACCACATATATGATATAACTGTGTTGTTGTTGGACAAAAGAAAAGGCCCACTTCTAATTACCACGAATCGTTTTCAACTCCGTTTTTATCCTCAGAGTGCCTTGTCCTATTCCTCTTGGATGTTTAGCTATTTTCCATGTTTTTAAAAAAAAAAAAAAAAACTCTATTTTTGTAATAGATGAGTATGTCATCATAATGAAATATAAAGATACCAACAGATTTGCCCAATGACTTTGACATTTAATATTATTTATTAATCAATCAAAAGAAATGTTAAGAGTGATGTCAGAAAAATGTTTTCAGACTAATACGTAGAACAGAACCGAGAGAAACTCGCTAGCGGATGATTCTACTAAAGACTACTGCTTTAACATACTTGTAAAATTTAAGTTCTCTTGAGAGATGAAGCAGAGCACAAATACAATTAGCAATTATCTTCTTAATCACCCCCACAAAATTCTGGTTCGATTCAACAATTCACTCGCTTGGCTTTTCAACAAAAACAAGTAATCTATCTTCTTTTTAAAATAAAAGAAGAACCATTCGAAAAAGAATACAGATATAAACGCAAAAAAACAATCAAAATCGGTATCATTAACACTTGGAAGTAGCGTGAGAGCATTCTTCTTGTTAACATGACACTCTTTGGAACAAGAGCAAAGGCAAAAACGTTCTCTCCTATTAACATCTGACCTTTCCCTTATAGTTCGAGCCAAATCAATGATGGAATCTAAAAGAATATAACAGATGTTGACATCTTCTGACCCTAAAGACATGACACCATATATAAGCTAACACAAAATGTGATCATTACACAAACAAAACACAGTATATATGCAAAACCCCTAAACTGCATCCAAGAAAGAGAATAGACCATGTGAAACTTTTTTTTTATATAAAAATAAAAATGTGAATATGCTTTTTAATCAAACATACAAACCCCCAAAAGACAAAGTGACAAAATGATGATGCAAAGACTGCAACTAACCAAAGTAATAATTAAAAAAAAAAAAAAAAAATCAAGGGATTGTCCTCTAATAATGCCCCCCCACTTGATAAAAACCCGAGACCATCCCTCAAGGGGTTGAAGAAGAAACATATGAGAGAAAGAAAAAAAACAATTTTGCTGAATGTATTGTGACTGTCCCCATAAAACTTTTGCCCCCAAAACCACCAGAAAACGACTCCTCCTCCTCCTTCTCCTCCGGGGCTTTCCTTCCCCGGATAAAGTTTCACCCGCGACTCCCTCTCCAGTTTCATTATTTACCCAAAACTCATCAATCCATGACTCTGTGACTGACCCAGTAATGCTGATGATGATGCAAATGAAACTGATGATGATGATGATGATGATGATGCTGATGTGACTCGGCTGTTGCAGCTCTAAACCCTCCCCGACTCAAAACCCACCCCAGAGATGCATGCAGACTTTACTAAAACTCAAAAGGAATTTTTCTCAAACTTTTTTTTTTTCTCTCTCGCAAAGGCAAAGAAAAAAGAGAGAGCCACTTCAAACAGATATGGCACGGGTAATGGCAAGCTTGGCCCATTCAGCTGCCTCTTTAATCGTGTGGTCTTCAGATGACAAACATTCGTTTAAGAACTCTTTACTCGACACTGACTGTTGTATCAAACCACCCACATGACTCCCTAGTGTGTCCGCTATATCTCCTAACACCCCTATCGCTGTCTTCATCACCACCTCGTCCCTGTTGTCACAATCATTTATCACCAAAAATATTAAACATCTTTTACGATTTCCACAACTAATATATATAATTTCAGAAAAAAAAAAAACCCAGAGACTTACATGTCTTTCTCCATGTATATACTGTCCAAAAACTGGAGGATATGGGGTGCGTGAGGAATCAGGAACTGGGTTTTGGGACAGTTCTTGAACCCTTGGAATATGCCTGAATAAGCCTCGAGGATCCCGTTTCTCAGTGAGTTTGTGTACTCCGTCATCTCATCATCAGCTCCAGAGGCGTGAGCAGATAGTTCCGCTGCGCTCTGTAGCATCGGCATCGAATACACGAGGTACTTCTCAAAGTTCTCTCCGATAGCAAGTGCTATGTCGCCAAAACAGGAGAATATCGGCGGCTTCACTGATCGGTGCAACTGGTTGCTCGACAAATCTTTCAGAAGCTGCGTCATAATCCCGTCGCAGTAAGGTAGAATCTTGTCCTCCAATGCTCTGCAGATATCCCCAACAACGCCCACAGTAACAGCACACACTTGGTACTCTTCAAAGTTTTGAAGACCCATTTCCAAGTACTTGTAAAACTCAGGCATGTACTTGGCGAATTCGGGACCTGCTGCATAAGCGAGAGCGCCAATGGCAAGCATGGCCTCCTCGTGTGCGGTTGCACTTCTACAACCGAACACCCTCAGGAAGAGTACCATCATCTGATCTGCATTCTGCATGAAAGAATACTTGGTCGGTTCAGATCCCAGCTTCTGTATGATGACCTGCAAGCATCCACATAAAAGTCCCTGAAGCTCGTTTTGTTTCTCCCTCTCGTCGGACGAAAGCTTTTCCCCTTCCAAAGTATTGTGAAGCTCCATCATTATCACAGGTACTAATTGCAGAACCATGGCTGATGTTTCATCAGTCGAACACCTGACAACTTCATTCAAAGCCTCGTACGCCGCGGTTCGCAAGCGTGATTCAGTGGCGTCCTCTCTGTGTGCAACAGCTAGAAGGGACTTGATTATTTCCTGGAAGAAGGGTGTTAATGGAGAGTTGGGACCAATATCCTCGTAGCCTTGAGCAAGGAAATATAGAGCCCCACAAGCCTTCTCCGCAACATTAGGTGCATCTTTCATGGTCTGGATCAGTACTGTGATAATCTGCTGGCAGTTTGCCTGAGTAATTATGGGCGTCTCGATGGTTGAACCATGAAGGAACTCAAATATCCGACCAAGGGTCCATGCAGTTGTGTCTTTCACATGGTTGCTTGGGTCCTTCGTCAGAGCATTGAGCATGAATGTTAACGCTGCGTTAACAATTGTCATCAGCTTATCAGCAGAAGGTCCCTCCAAAATGGAACCAAAAGCATAAGTTGCAGCTTCCCGCTCTCTCCAATCAGGCTTTGATATTTTCTCTTCGATGAAAGGCATGACATGAGGTACAATGTCATCTCCAACTGCCCTAGCAACCAAACCGAGGCATGTTCCACCAGCCATTGCGATATTCCAAGCCCCTTCATCCAGATCCTGATCTTCTTCTTGCTTAAGAAGAGTCTCCAACAGCAGAGGCACAAGCGCAGGGAGAGCCTGCTTGGTGAAATAGAAGCAAGGAACATCGGAATCCCCAGTGAACTCGCCCCCATATTCTTCTAAGATATCAATCTCCTCGTCACAAATCGAACTCCAGAATTCAATCGCCTGTAGAGCAACAGACTCGTCATCTTCTCTTACAGCCTTGGCTGTGATGTTGAATATATCTTGCATATAATGCGCCAACTTGTCATAGTATGTGGAAGCGATTGATACCAAACACTCAAAAGCCGCCTGCCTGATTTTCACCTCAGGGGAAAGGGTTGCTTCACACACGACTCTCATGATATAATCACGCTCCATGTCGTTGTTGAAATTCGCCTGGGCGAATCCCAGAGCCATGTATAAAGCACGGGTTGCTGCAAGCCTTACATCATTGTTTCCCTCAGCAGCATTCATACCCTGAACAACGGCCGTGAGTATCTTATTTACATGTTCCTGTTCTACAACGTCAGGTGACACTTCTTCACATAGGTACCCAAGAGTCTCCAAAGTGGCTTGCTTGACATGAGCTGGTAACTGGTGAATGTTCGAGAGAAGAGATCCGATAAGCTCAGGCCACTGCTTCTGTGGCAACTCAATACCTGCAACCTTGGCGATGACCTGAGATGCAGTTGAACGAACATCGGGCACAGGGGAGGAGAGTGTCTTCAACAAGAATGCTCTGATCTGAGACTTTGTTGACATGTCAAGAGACAGCCACCTCTGGACGAGCTCATACTTCCTGTGTTGTTCCTTAGCATCAAGAGCATTTTTTAGGACTAAACCGGCTAATTTCCTGCTATCTACTGGCTTCTCGTCGCTTGCAAGCTCTCCAGCAAGTGACAACAAAAACCCTGCAAGGTTTTGCTCCTGAAACTGTTTGAGACTTTCTTCAGCGTGCTTACGCACGTTTCCATCAATCGACTGAGCGTTTATGAGCAACTGGGTAACCTCCATTGCCGCAAGTTAATCTGCAATAGTAACATTCAACAAAATCAGATTTAGCAAGAACGAAAAGATCTCGTGCAGACAGAAAGAAAAATCCTTTAATAAAATAGCTGAAACATCTAACAACAAACCTAGAAGAAATCTTGATCAATCAGGACACTTACCAAACACACACACACACACAAATAAGAACAAAGTAGACAAAATCAGTAAAACTAAGACCTCCTAACAACTATAGGTGAAAACCAAAGATTCAATAAAATCCTACGAATTCCCTAAAAATCAGTATACGATCCAACTCATTCAACAAAAAGCATTAAAAGTACCTAAAAACTACTAAATCGCTATCGCCCGCAGCTAAAGTTGCAAGCGAAAACGCCATGGATCAAGAGAACATTGAAAAACAAGCCATACTCAGTTAAAGACTCATCAAAGTCGCTTAATATAGTGAGAATCACAGATCGGAGCACGAAATCGAATATATAAGATGAAATCAAATTTGAAAATCAACAGACTAAGAAGACCAAATCAACTAGTTACTAGAATGGATTAATAAATCGAGAAACTAATAAGTAAAGTCGACAGGAGAACGAGTTCAAATCCCACAACTTCGGATAAATCGAAACAAAAAGCTGGAATCGATGATTGAAACGATTCGAGATCGAAATCAGAAAAAACGAGAATTGGGAACTAATGAATCCGAAGGATGGATCTACTTCGAGCATGTAAGATAGATGAAGTGAAGAAGCATACCTAGAATCTCGGCGGCGCCGATCGAATAGAGCGGGAATCGGGGACTGAGAGACAAACCCTAGAAGCCCAGAAGGGAGAGAGAGAAAACAGTTCCAGCGAAAAAGGGAAGAGAGAGAAAGAGAGGTGGTAAGAGAAGGAAGAATCGGATGTGAAGATGGACTTAAATTAAATATTTAAAAAAATTAAACAAATATTTAAATTCAAACAATTGTGTACTCTTTTTATTTTCTCTGACGGCGACAAATACAATTATGTAATTTTTATAATTTTGAAATTTTGCTTTCAGTAAGTCTTAGGGTTTTGTTAAGTGTATGTATATTTAATCTTAAAAAAAAAAAAAATATATATATATATATATATATATATTTTCCGAATTACAGGAAGAATTTTTTATCTGCTGTGGTACAATCGCGTGTTGGGTGGTCCTTATCTGACCCCACCTAAATTATACTCAATCGCTTCCGATATCCTGACATCACTGGACAATGAACGGTTCAGATTGTTTCAGGTTTATGTTTTACAACGAGATGCGAAGAAGAAGATTTTTTCCTGTCTTCCGAAGCAGGAGAACTGAAAGTACAAAAACCATTAAAAAATAAATAAAATAATACAATATACGAACACTCACCGTACACAATCAACAAAAATTATTATACAGTATGATTAACAAAAATTATTATACAGCGCATGATTACAAAGGCTGAAAAAACATGAAGGGCCACAAGCCAGAGAGAAAATCATATTAAACTTTTTTTAAGTTTGCTGTCAAAGAAACAACTTTTGAGCTTTATTGGGTTATGATGATGATTATAAATTTTGATGATCTCTCTCTCTGGTTCAATATAGTAACCATTAAAACTAATTACTATATGCAATGATGCATAGAATTGGAAAACTAACCAACGTTTCTTCTTTCTCAAACAGAAATAAAGAACAGGTAAATGAAAAGCATCTGTTTTTTTTAAAAAAACACAATTTTGAGACATTTTTGATTCAGAGATTGAAAAACACTAATTTGAATCCCTCTTCTCTCGCATGAAAGACCATTCTGATTCACAAAGATCAAGAGGCGAGTTTCCATCTTCATCTTTAATGGTTGTACTAGCTTTTTGCTTTACAAGAAACTCGGCGAGAGCTTCTCTTTCGCACACAACCGCGTAGTGTAGTGAGGTTTGGCCTTCGTTGTCCTAAACACAAAACAAAGTTTGTCTCTGTCAGCAAGAAACCCACACAAATCTTGTATCTGAGTGAAAGAATTGGATAAAACAAGTCATTTTGTTAGTTTACTTTGGCATTAACATCAGCGTTCTTATCAACCAGAGCTTTAGCAACATTCAGGTGGCCACGGTCTATAGCCCAATGCAGCGGTGTTCGACCTTCACTGTCTGAAATTCCCAAGACGGAGTCAAATTCCAAAAACCAAATCGGAACAAATGTGAAACGATGATATAAGAAGTAGAGAGACTAACCTCTTGCATTTACAGGTATGCCATTGTCTATGCATTGGAGTAGATTCTCCACTTCTCCTTCTCTAGCAAAGGCGTGAATTGCATCAAGCTTCCTGGAACATGAAAAAATTACAAGAATCAACAGAGCTTGTCATGTAACTAAATGACAGCCTAAGGTTTACTTTGATCGTTATTGATAGATGACTGTTCAACTATAAATAGATCGATTCATGGAAACTCTTTTGTGACTGGTATGTGTTCTTGAAGGATATAAAGAGCAGTTCAAAGGAAACAGAGTTTGTTAGCTAATTTGCTTAGAACCTTACAACTCATTATCGGATCCCTCTTCGTACACCAATGAGCTAAACACAGGTCCCATGGCTGCTCTTGAGTTTGAGCCTGCAGCATCACCACTACGACTTCTTCCTTTCTAAACGTCATTACAACAAAGGAAACAATTCAAGAATCAAACTTAGAGATTCAAGAAACGAAACAGAGATCATCCATATTCCATGGTAAGTCCAAAGAAATGAAGGTGTTACCGAGCCACCTTCTACCCAAGCTGGGTACAGCTGAGTAACGAGATCGATATACTTCTCCATTGCTTCCTCAGGAGGCATAGCACCCAGTTTCTGCCATGCTTGCCTGAAACAAAAATGTTCATGACAAAGTCTCAGTCAATCAAAATCTGCAGCTTAACCCATAGACTACAAATCATACAACAACAAAAAGCAGTCCTTTTCAAGATACATCCATGATGAAGAAACATCAGTTAACTCGTAAGTGAACATGATCAAGCAATAGTCTCAAAACATTCGAACCAGATTAACCATAACACAGACAAAAATTAAATAAAAGACGAACCATTTGGCACGAGCAGTCATTTTGAGAGCTGATGGTTGTGGAGCAGTACAAGGTCCTTCAGTAGCAATCTTGTAGAAGCCGTAAAGCTGAAGCTGCAAATCGTTTGATACTTTCTGGGAAAGCCGGTCCGATGCGGCGGCAGCCACAAAGGCCGTCGCGGCACTGAATGCCTCGTCGAGCTCTGTGCTCTCCACACCTTCCCAATCGTCGTCTTCATCGTCCTCGTCGTCATCATCTTCGTCACCTCTCAAGCTACCTTGCTCCGCCACGAGGGATTCCGTCTCGCCGCCAATTCCGGTTGAAGATGATTCGACCCGGCGATAGTCGTCCTCCGATTCGGTATCGTGGTTGCGAGTGAGGGAGAGATTCTCGTCTTTAAACGCGACGAGGATAGAGATTAGCTTAGCCAAAAGGTAAGCGAAGATCAAACCCAATATAGCAGACTGAGCAAGCTGATACCAATCACCCATTTCTCAAAATCGACCCAAAAAAAAAAAAACTCCCCAAAAAGTCAAAAAGCACCGAGATTCAAACACACCAAACCCGAAATCTGAGTGTATAAACCCTAAATTTCAATAAAGGGTCACAAGAACGCATCTCCAGAAACAAAAAGGAACCAGCTTTTTTTTTCTTTTCTTGTTTTCACCGCTTCACTCAACAATTCGTTCCTTTTTTTATATGACTTCTGGGCTTTAAGAAGAGACGACAGAGGAATCACACATCAGATTAAACGGTGCCCAACACAACCTTAATCTGTTTGGCTATAAAGTTTCACTTTTTTTGTTTTGTCAACATTCTACAGATTCTACAATGACGACGCTAATAGTGTATTTTGAGAACAGTTTCACACTTATAATCACAACACTATGAATTTATGATGTAAATGTTTATGATTTCTCACCAATGTTCAATTTCTTACTTCTTATACTTTCCACCAGGAAGGAAAAAAAGACAAAGAGCCAGGAACTATGCATTACCATTCCTTTAAAATTCAAATCCAGAAGCAGCCATAGATTAATAAATAAAAACAGAAAGGCCTTCAATTCCGAAAGCATTAACAAAAAAAAAGCTAACGAAACTTTACCAAGAAAATGTACTTTCAAATTCATTATTACTTATATGAACGGGATAATAAACAACCTAAGCTTTCCCTTCTCTTCTCTTCCACCTCCAATATTTGTTTCCTCAGAGCAACTCTTATACTCCATCTCTGCAAATAAGTCAGGTCCTTCTCGCCTCCTGTTTCAAAAAGAGCAAAAGGCTTCTCACTCGACTTTTGCTTCAGATGTGAGGCTTTTCTTTCTCTTCACCTCTTCCTAGTGCTTCATCTGGTTGAGGCTTTGTTGAAGCTTGGCATCTACTTGGTCTTCCTCGGTTTTGCTGAGGAATTTGTCAACCTGAGATGCAGCTTGACGTCCTTCTGATATGGCCCACACCACCAAAGACTGGCCTCTCCGGCAATCACCTGCTGCGAATACACCTTCCACTGTCGTGGAGAATCGGCCATACTCTGCTTTGAAGTTTGACCTGTTGTCGCATTCGAGTCCTAGCTTCTCGGCGAGTGTCTGTGGAAAGCAAGAGAGAGAGAGCCAATGGTTTCAACTTTCAGTAATCATCTTTCAATGTAAGAAATAGAGAAAGAAGAATGGATCACTTACAGGCTCGGGTCCAAGGAATCCCATGGCCAAGAAAACAAGGTCTGCTTCAATTATTTCCTCGGAGCCTTCGATCTCCTTGAATTGGAACCTACCGGATTCATCCTTCTCCCAACTCAACCGCACAATTTCAAGCCCCTTCACGTTTCCATTGTCATCTCCTATGAACCGCTTGGTTAAGACCTCGTAGGTTCTTGGGTCTTTTCCGAATTTGGTGGCGGCTTCTTGATGTCCGTAGTCAATACGGAATACACGAGGCCACTGTGTTGACAAATAATACGAAGGAAGCCCATTAAAATCAACAATGGTTAATAGTTGTTTAATCTATGGATGCATAAGGTCTGATTTGAGTGTAGGAGAAGTGAAGCAAACCTGTGGCCAAGGGTTTCCAGGAGCTCTTGTGGAAGGTGGCTGAGGAAGAAGCTCTAGGTTTACAATGTTGGTGCACCCATGGCGGATAGATGTTCCTATGCAATCTGTGCCGGTATCACCTCCACCAATGACGACAACCTTTTTCCCCTTTGCAGAAATGTAATTGCCATCTTCAAGATTGCTATCAAGCAAGCTTTTGGTGTTTGCATGAAGAAACTCCATGGCAAAGTGAACACCAGAAAGATCACGACCAGGCACTGGAAGATCTCTGCAAAATTACCCACAACAATATCTCAGATGAATCACTATAATCCGTTTCAAATTCTGGTACAATCGTTTTAAAACAAAAAATTACCTTGGTTTTGTGGAGCCAACAGCAAGAACAATCGCATCATTCTCCTCCTTGAGTCCATCTAGGGAGTAAGACGGGTCTTTTCCAATATTGGCATTGACCACAAAGTTGATACCTTCTTTGGTCATAAGATCAACCCGACGTTGAACGATGTCAATTTTGTCAGTCTTCATGTTTGGGACTCCATACATCATAAGCCCACCAATTCTGTCAGCACGCTCATACACGGTTACCGAGTGGCCCATTTTGTTCAGCTGGTCGGCAGCAGCTAGTCCAGCTGGCCCACTTCCGATGATCGCAACCTTTTTCCTGCAAAACACAAAGAGCAGCAGATGCATGTGAATTGACGAAATGTGAACTCTATCTATACATAATAATGCATATGTATGTGAGACTTGCAACAGTGGAATATAAGATAGCTTGCTAAGACTAAGAAGTGTACCCTGTTCTCTTGAGAGGAGGTCTTGGTACCATCCACCCTTCATCAAAGGCCTTATCAATAATAGCACATTCGATGCTTTTGATAGAAACAGGGTTCTCAATAATTCCAAGAACACAAGAACCTTCACATGGTGCAGGGCATACTCGGCCAGTAAATTCTGGAAAGTTGTTTGTCTCAAGTAGACGGTTCAACGCTTCTTGCCATCTGTTTTGGTAGACAAGTTCATTAAATTCAGGGATCTTGTTACCAAGGGGACACCCAGAGTTCTCCTGTAAATTTTTCAAGTAAAAATGTTGAGCACTTCATTCATGAAATACCTTGACATATAAGAAAGAATACATGGAAAGAACAAAAAGGCATTATCTTAGGATATATATACCTGGTGGCAGAATGGAGTTCCACAGTCCATGCAACGAGCAGACTGAGTTTTAAGGAGCGGCCCAGGTTTTGATTCCTCCATGACCTCGTTCCAGTCATTAAGACGAACATTGGGGTCCCTGTACTTAACTCCTTCACGTTCATAAGCAATGAAACCACGATGTTTGACAGCATTATCTACCAGAGAAGGTTTCTTCGGAGCCTCAGCTGCAACACCGTTTCCAGACATCTCCTCTTTTGAAGAAGCAGCTGCCACACCGTTTCCTGACATCTCCTCTTTTGAAGAAGCAGCTGCCATGTTCTTCAGCTCCGCAAAGGCGTCTTTCTCCTCGAGCTCCTTTTCTTCCATCTCGTCAGCTTCTTCAGAAGCACGTTCTATCGCCTGCTTGGAGACCTCTTCGTGTTTCATGGCTGACAAAACACGTTTGTAGTCTCTTGGGAAAACTTTGACAAACTTCGGCAGCAAATTCTCAAAGTCTGCAAGAATTTCCTGAGCAAGTTGGCTGTTTGTGTGCCGTTGATGTTGCTGAATCATCATCTTGAGCGTCATTTTGTCGTCGTCATCTTCAACTTTGTCCAGATCAACCAGTTCAAGGTTGCATCTTGTGTGGAACTTTCCATCAACATCAAGGACATAAGCAATACCACCACTCATACCAGCAGCAAAGTTTCTACCAGTCTTTCCAAGTACCACAACAGTACCACCGGTCATGTACTCACAACCATGATCACCAACACCTTCGACAACAGCTTTGGCACCAGAATTACGAACAGAGAATCTTTCAGCCGCCATCCCATTAAAGTAGGCTTCACCACTAGTGGCTCCGTAAAGTGCTACATTACCAATAACAATGTTTTCTTTGGGATCAAAGCTGCTTCCTTTAGGCGGGTACACAACCACTTTACCTCCGGAGAGCCCTTTACCAACATAGTCGTTGCTATCACCCTCAAGTTCTAGCGTAATTCCAGGACATAGGAAAGCTCCAAGACTCTGCCCAGCACTTCCTGCGAACTTGATATGAATTGTATCCTTTGGTAGCCCAGCCAAGTGGTAGCGTTTGGTAACTTCATGGCTCAGCATTGTCCCAACAGCACGGTTAACATTGCAGATAGGAGTTTCAATGTACACCGGAAGAGATTTCTCTAGAGCAGATTTAGACAATGCAATCAACTCCTGGTCCAAAGCCATGTCTAAGCCGTGATCTTGTTTCTGGACACAGTACTGAGCAGCCCCAGGACGAATCTCAGCAGCGGGTCTGAGCAGAAGAGATAGGTCAATGTTCTCCAGCTTATCGTTGTTCTTGACAACTTCCCTGTCAAGTTCAAGCATATCTGCGCGACCAATCATCTCAGTTACAGTTCGGAAACCAAGTCCAGACATGATCTCCCTAACTTCCTCGGCAAGCATAAAGAAGAAGTTAATAACATGTTCAGGCTCCCCAGCAAACTTTTCACGGAGAACTGGATCTTGAGTGGCAATTCCCACAGGGCAGGTGTTCTTGTGGCATTTTCTCATCATGATACACCCGAGTGTAATAAGGGGTGCAGTACTAAAACCAAACTCTTCCGCACCAAGAAGCGCAGCAACTGCAACATCTCTGCCAGTTTTCAGCTGACCATCTGTCTGAAGAACAGTGCGGCCACGAAGGTCATTAGCAACAAGAGTTTGGTGTGTCTCAGCTAGACCCAGTTCCCACGGAAGACCAGCATTTTTAATACCGGTCCAGCGAGATGCACCAGTACCTCCATCATGACCTGCTATCAGAACATGGTCAGCGTGGCCCTTCACCACACCGCTAGCAATAACTCCAACACCAGCTTCCGATACAAGTTTCACACTAATACGGGCCCCAGGATTGGCATTCTACACGAGATGAGAGTGAAAGATGTTACACAAAAATCAAAGGAGTACGCAGAGACAATGCTTCGTAATGTAAGAATTAGGAAAAGCATAAATGGGAACCTTAAGATCGTGAATTAGTTGGGCAAGATCCTCGATAGAGTAGATATCATGATGAGGAGGTGGACTGATAAGCCCCACACCAGCGGTGGAATTTCTAGTGATAGCGATGTCTCCTATAACCTTGTGGCCAGGTAGCTCCCCTCCTTCCCCAGGTTTGGCACCCTGTAAAGAAAGTATTTAGAAACTTGACCAGTATATAGATGCAGTATTCAACAACACTTCTGACAAGGCTCCTATAAAAACTGCGAGCAAAACTCCCTATCTGCTATATGCATGATGCCGTAAACGAAAAAAAATCCCAGTGTAGGAGCATAGGGACAGTTGACACCCAAAGATGTGCAGATGAGAGAACACTGTGTCAAGTCATATCGAAAGGTACCTGGGCCATCTTTATTTGCAGCTCATCAGCATTAGTAAGATAGTAGCTTGAAACTCCAAATCTTCCACTAGCAATCTGTTTGATGGAACTTCTTTTGGGGTTCCTTGAACCATCTGGAAGAGGCTCCATACGGGATGGCAGTTCCCCTCCCTCACCTTGAGCAGATCATAAACTCATACGTTACTATGGTTTATAGAAGAAAAATAAGGGAAATGGGAAAAAAAAAACAAATAATACCTGTATTTGACTTTCCTCCAATCTTGTTCATGGCTATCGCAAGAGTCTGATGCGCCTCCAGTGATATTGATCCATAACTCATGGCACCAGTACAGAACCGCTTGACAATTTCACTGGCAGGCTCCACTTCATCTAGTGGAATTTTTACATCTGCATCTTTAAACTTCATGAGCCCACGCAAATTACTTTGCTTGTTCAATTCGTTGATACGCTTTGAGTATTCCTTGTAGGCCGCCACACTGTTAGTCCGTGCTGCCTCTTGCAATTTTGCCATTGCGAGGGGGTCATTGAGATGAATCTCCCCATTTTTCCTCCAGTGATAGTTCCCAGGGTTTGTAAGAGCTGAGGCTTCTGCACTTCCAGGGGCATAACCACGAGCTGGAAAAGCCATCTCATGCAAAAGGAGCGCATCTCGTGCAAGCATCTCAAATGTTGCTCCTTCCACTCTGCTTGGGGTGCCCGCGAAACACTTCTCAATTACTTCAGACGAAAGGCCAAGAGCTTCAAATATTTGAGCACCCTTGTATGAGGCCAGGGTAGAAATTCCCATTTTGGCAAGAACCTTCATCATTCCATAGTTGCTTGCCTTGTAATACTTCTTGACCAGCTCTTCCTTGGAATGGAATTCCCCGTTAGATTTGGGAGGTATCTTGCCATCAACCTGCAGTCTATGGACAGCCTCTACAGCCAAATATGGGCAAATCGCATCTGCTCCGAATCCGACAAGTGTGCAGAAATGATGGACTTCACGAGGTTCAGCAGATTCCACAACCAAACCAACTTGAGTGCGCGCAAGTGTCTTAACCAGGTGGTGATGAACGGCACCGACAGCCAAGAGAGAGCTCACAGCAACGCGGGTAGCAGAGAAAGCTGAAAAGTCGAGACATTAAAAAACAAGGTAAGAGCATGGTAAATATTGTCATATATGGGAATACGACTACAGATCCTAAAGTCAGAGTTGATAAGGATGCCAAATTATTACCTCGATCAGACAAGACCAGTAGTGTGTAGCCGTCCTTTATCGCTTCGTTTGCTTCAGCACAAATTCGGTCCAAGGTCTTCTCCAACCCTTTTGTACCTTCTTCTTTTTGATAAGTTATATCAAGGACTTTAGTCCTCCAGCCTCTGTAATTCATTTTCTTGATTGATTCCATCTCCTCTATGGTCAAAAGAGGACCTTTTAAAGAGAGACGGTGACATTGCTCTTCAGTTGTTTCGGTTAGATCACCTTCTGGACCGATCATGCACTCCATTGAAGTAACAATTTTCTCACGAATGGGATCGATTGGAGGATTTGTTACTTGAGCAAACATTTGCTTGAAGTACTCAAAACATAGTTTCTCTCTGCTTGACATTACAGCTAGGGGGGTATCATTTCCCATAGAACCAAGTGCTTCAGTGCCATCTTTAGCCATCGGAAGCAGCAGCATTTCCAAGGCCTCAACTGTATAGCTGCATGCACAGGTCATAAGAAAGCGTGAGACAAATTACAAAGCAAAACAAATCAATACACTTTGGGAAGAATAAAAACAAACATACCCAAAGGCTTTTAGTGGAGACAATAAACCATGAATGCCCATGCTCTCCATTGAGTCATCATCATTAGACGCCTAAGTTTGGAAAGACAAAGGTTAACTTACCATAGTAAAGGAACTGAAAGTTCTATTTTAGGGGATTAGTTTAGTGATTAGTTTAGTGACAGCTTACCGGTACGACCCCAGAAATTGGTGGAGCAACCCGTTCAGTCTCCGGAACTGACTTAATGATGTCTTTAAGGTCAATCTTTTGCCTTTCAAGCCATTCACCATAGGGTCTTGCCTGTGAATACTGTTGCTTCAAGGCATCGTCATCAACAACAATATGCTTCTCAAAATCGACAAGAAGCATCATGCCTGGGTTAAGTCTTCCTTTCCTCATAACATCTTCAGGTGGTACGTCCACAACCCCAACTTCACTAGCCATGATAACCCTTCCACTGTGGGTTATGTAGAACCTTCCAGGGCGAAGTCCATTACGGTCCAATGTGGCACCCAAGTAGCGACCGTCAGTAACTGCAAAACATTCAAAAGAGAGTTACATCAAATCAAACGACTGCATGCCAAAAGTGTTTGAGAAATTATGTAAAACTTTAGAATAGCTATTACATGATATGAGAGCAGGTCCATCCCAAGGCTCCATTAGGGCAGATAGGTATTCATAAAATGATTTCCTGCTTGGGTCAATGTTTTTGTCGTTCTGCCATGCTTCAGGGATCATCATCATAACAGCTTCAGGAAGACTTCTGCCAGCTCGGACAAGGAGCTCAAGAACACCATCAAAAGCACCTAGCATGGTTAACAAGAAAATAGAGACATGTGTCATAAAGAAACGCTTTGATCTACATTTAGTTGTACAAGCATATAATCGAGATTGGATTTTACCTGAGTCAGACGAGCTAACATCCACAATAGGTAGAAGCTTCTTCAACTCGTTCTTTGATAATCCAAGTTCTTTGCACTTTAGCAGACCCTCACGTGCCCTCATCCTGTGTGGAACATAAAGTCAAGAAATCATTATAGAACGATTTGACATTAACAGAGGCAGAATAAATATATCAGGCACTTGCATACCAGAGAGCATTTTTATCACAAATCGCTTGCAATATTTACCCAACCCTGGTCAACCCAATTTTTTTCTAACCAAGGCACCAAAGTAGGTCTCTAGAAAGCATTACATGAAAGTTTTAATATATGATATCTCTTGCAACATACCAGTTAACGTTTCCCCTGAGCGTATTAATCTCCCCATTGTGGCCCAATACACGCATCGGCTGAGCACGATCCCAGCTGGGGAATGTATTGGTAGAGAAACGAGAGTGAACCTGAACCATTAAACAAGTAAACCGAGCATAGTCAATCATTAGTTATCAAACAAAGTAAATGTGTATGTATGCAACTGAAGACTTTACCACTTGGTCTTAGACAAAACTTCACAGCAACTAGTGGGGGGTCATGTTATAATGTTGCAGGATTGCTAACTATCCTAACCAACAGAATTTTAGTCTTAATCACCGCATAGTGATAACTCAACCTAAGATAAACTCATTATACATATCAAGGCAACGAGTTTCTAGAAACACGGACTCACTTGACAGGTTTTTGATTTACCAACTCACCAGCATCCAAAATTAAAAAACTTATCAAGGGTTTGGAGGAACTTAAGAGATCATTCAAACTTCAATGCCTCAGAAGTCATTCCTCAACCTCGCATCTCCTTGGTTACCCCCGTTGGTTCCCATGCTGTTTGTGGAGCATGGAGTCAGCATAAAAGAAAGAGATAGTGAATAGAATATTTATTTACCAGGGCCATGTAGCTCGTAAACCTTTCACTCCCAAGATCCGCGTAGTAATAGTCCTTCAGCTGATCAGGCTTCAATTGTCCTTTGTAGACAACAGTCCTGCATAAGTAAAAGAAAACGATCCACTATATTAGAACTTCCGTTGCCTGAAACCGCAATTGTAATCTCAAACTGAAATAACTCTACATACCTAGAGGATAAAGAACAAATGTAGAAATCCTTCATCGCACCATGTTCAAGGTTCAACGCTGCTCGGATAGCAACCATGGAAACCCTTCGAAGGATGTACATCTGTCAAATATAAAAGGTAGCAATTCCGTTAACATCAACTCTCACAGACAACAACAAAGTACATGTCAGTGATTATTCTCACCTGTTGCTCAAGGTCGGCTTTAGATTTAGTCGTAGGAGTAAGGAAAACTTGCTCGATGATCGGCTCAGTCTGCAAAGCAGACTTCCCCAAACCAGAGTTATCAGTAGGAACTGGTCTCCATCCAAGAACTGAATGCCCAAGTGATTCAGCAACCTGCACAAGAAAGTAAACCAAAAAAATACCGTAAATCAACCTGTGCTAATAAATTTCATAAATTACTCCCAAAAAAATCAGTAAAACTAACCTTGGTGAAAACATTTTTGCTTTCATCTCTCCGGGACTCAGCGGTCGGCAAGAAGAACATACCAACAGCGTATTCCCCAGCGGGAGGAAGCACAAAGCCTAGATCTTTCGCAGCCTGCTCGACAAAGAGAAAACATCATTCAAATTAATTTAGCTAGAAAACAAAAACAAAAAACATTACTTGTGGCTAAATTCCGATCAGATCTCTTAACATTTTCCTTGAAACAATTCTTTGCATGGATAATAAATTATGTCTAGAGATTAAGTAACATACCTCTGCATAAAACTCATGAGGTAGACCAACGAGAATCCCAGCGCCGTCACCAGTGTTGCTCTCACAACCACAAGCGCCTCTGTGAGTCATCCGAATCAACATCTCCAACGAATCAGTCACCTGAATTGCATTCAAAATCACGAATATGCGTCATTTATCATACCAAATGAGAGATTCATGATTAATTAATAGAACCAGAGCAATTAACGGTACCGTTTTGCGGCTGGTCTCGCCGGATAACTCCGCAACGAAACCGACTCCACAAGAGTCCTTATCGAACGAAGGATCGTAGAGACCGAGAGGCTTCTCCGGAACACCGGAAAACGACGACCTAACCACCGTTCTCAGCTTCGGAGACCTTCCAGGACCGTCCGATCTCCAGAACTGGAGCGTCTCGGATCCGGATCTCCGCATCCGGGTCCCCATGAAAGGACTCTCGGGAGCCGCCGGTTTCTTCACGGAGCATCGCGCCGTACATGCTCTTCTGCGACCGACGCCAGGCGCGACGGCCAATTGAGAGGCGACGACGGCGGTGGGGGGTTTCAGAGATCGGGTTGGTAACAACTGTTTGTTTCGGAGCTGGAGAACGGAGCTAGAGGAAGCTACCGACATCTTTTTTTCACAACGAAATCAACAGTGAGATTTTTTTTTTCTTTTCTGGACGAAAGTACGAGATTTGTTGTATTCAGATAGAGGGAAATACGGGGAGGGGCGATTTTAAAGGATATATGAGAATAAAAACAGAGAATCGATCAGATAACGCCAACAGAATCTGCGGATTCTTAGGGAAATAGACTTGACAAAACAGTGCCGGGTGCGGCGGAGGGAGGCGGCCAAGGGTAGGTGGCGGCTAGAGAGTTTGCGAGAGTTTTATACATTACTCATGAGACGAGACGTTTATATTTATAGAGACGAGACGGCTTTAGAGAGAGAGAAGTTGTTTCGTTGAAAAAATTTATTTTATTTTTTTCATTACTCTTTTTCTCCTTTAATTATTTTTAATTGTATTTAACTAATATGTATATTTAGTATTATTTTAATTCCGTATTGGTTGTTACTCTTACCACGTGAAATGACAGAAACTAATATTAAAATTTATTTATAATTTTAAATTTTAAATTATTAAATATAATATATTCTTAATTTAAAGAAAAATTTTATAATATAAATCTTTCATAAAGTAGATCATTTTAAAAAGGTTTATTATTTTTTGATAAATTACTGTTTTTTATTCACTGTTTAGACATTAATTTATTTTTTGATATTGGCTTTTTATTTTATAAAAAAAAAAAAAATCTTCTGTTACTAAACTATACTAACTTCCAGGTTGTACAGAAACAAAATATTTCCAAAACTCTGATTAATTTTATTTTAATTTAGTTAAATTGTCAGAGAATCTTATTTTAATAATAGTATTAAATACACGCGTATCTACAAAGAAGGGGAGAATTCTCCAAATGCATGAAACAAAAACAATAAGTAATTAAAATGAAATTATTTTATAAATGGATAAATGCTGAAATTTTCTACATATGTGGGGTTCAGTAGTGAAGGCTACGTGTATGTGGCACGAGTCAACCGCTTACTGTGGGTTCCACCGTAGACGAATACTACCATTGATGGCTACTTTAGCCTGAATTTAGGTTAATACAAAACTTAATCGGCCACGAGTCTCCGCGAACTACACGGTTAATAAAAAACCAAAAAATCACCTGCTGAAATTAATGTGCGGGGTCAATATTGAGAGATGTGATCTTTGCAGTCCCGTAATTAGCTAAATTAGTGAGAGATTTATTAACTTATTTGATTGTTCATAGTCAAACTTCGGTTATAAATGTAAAAATTAGTAAGGGAAAGTGAACACGTAACGTGACGCTATTGATGACGAATTATTTGTTGAGTTTGAACCGCACCAAGTTTATATTTTCCGTATGCGGCCAACCGTAATTATTTTTAATGATTAAAAAATTGTTGAGAAACCTTAAAGAACAGTCACTAATGTGTACTAAATATTTGAGTATTCAATACAAAGTGGATTCTATGCAGTATTCAAACAAACGCTTTTTTACCCTTTTTAACCGCATGACGCTTTTTAATCAACGAAACGAAACCATTAATCCACATCATATTTTCAAAAACAACAAGATACGAATTCTAACTGGATTTAGATTAAAATGTGCTAAGGTACTTAAGTTTACGTAAATGACTTTGCCATCTCTGATAATCTCGTCAGGGTGGCTTCCACAGTCCACCTTCTCTTAATGGGATTAAAAGAGTTAGTGAATCCCAATTATTTTTTAAAAAAAGTTATAAAAAAAAAAAAAAAACCTAGTCCAATCCCCGAAATAGCAGACTTATTCAATGTGTATAATTCTCATATTAATCAGTTGGACCGCGAATATCCACAATACAATGATTAAAGTAAATAATCGACATTAGTCACCATATAATCAAAAGCAAATAATACTGTTTCTTCATGCCAATTAAGAGAATAATATATTGTTTTTCATTTTTAAATTTCTTATTACGTAGTTTAAAATAAAAATAGATTAAATGAGTTAATTATGAAAAATGAATAAATTCTATGGAATCTAGGATCCATAGCATTCCTGTGCTGACTCAAATGTGACTTCTGTTTTTGAAATACAACTATACAGGTTTAGTTTAAGACTTTGAACAACAAATATATATCTAGATCACGCGAAAATTATCATAAACCATTCAAACTGTACTGTAACCATGTCTCATTATCTCCTACTAACGCATGCAACAGGTTGTCAACTACATATACCTTTTTCAAAAGTATGTGCATAAAATTTAATTTATTATGTTATGATACGTGCAACAGTGTAATTCTAGGAACACTTGTGATTTTTTTTCTTAGCTGTATAACCAAGTTGATAAAAAAATAAGCGATATAACAACAACAACAAATATGAACGGAATTAATTTGATGGGTTTGCTGTTAAAAATAATAACCTAATCGCAATGGCTTTTATACCATGACTAAAAATATCTATGCATTTTTCGACAATAATTTGAATTATTTGACTATGAACTTCAGCAGAATGATTACTAATCTGAATAAAAAAATAATCAAAAATAACATGTTTATCCCAACATCAACTAACCAGATGACACAACATGCAACATCTGTTTCTAACAAAAAAGAAGAAGTTATATATCAATTCTGCCACCAACCACATGTCATTAAAATGCTAGGTAGGTAGAACGAATGGCGAAGCTAATACTGGACATAAAAAGATGACTAGTTAATATCTAAAAATAAGATTTCGAATTTATAAAATTTGATTATTTTTCAACGATATACACTAAAGTCATATTATTAAGGGTTGTATAATTCGAAAATGATAAAACTAAACTTTGGTAATCTTGCAACTTTAAACATCCAAAATGAAATAATTGGCAACTTTAAAAACATTGCCAACTAATCAATAAGCTTCATCAACAATAGTCAAATTACCATCTCGACCTGATATATTAAGCAATTCACTGTAATTTTGAGGTTTAACAGAGAAATCAAGAACCCTTTTAGTCTCCTACATATGAATATATAAATAATCCGACAAGAGCAGTTTGAGGAAAGGACCAAACAGGTTGGGCAAAGCAAGTTTATGATGAAGAGAGTGTGTTTGCCTAACTAAAACGGCCAGATGATCTAATACCTGTCACGTTATGGGCAAAGATTCTCTCCAAAGACAAATCAATGTGTGACCATTCCTACGATTCTGTCCACCTCATCACTCTCACTCCACTACACGACAAATTTCATTCATGATGTCATTCTCATCTTACTTCCTTTTTGAAAATAAATTGAAATTCCATCGATAGGTTTAAGCTTAACCGGTAAATTAGTAAGTAGTAACAACAAAGGTGTTAGTGTGTTACGTTTAGGGGATTATTAAATTAAAGCGCGCAAAAATGGCAGAAAGTAATATTTTTTTAAAAAAAATGGGAAAGGCTGTAAAATGTGCATAAATTAACATTTTTAAACGTAGAAAAAAACGGTAAAGAATATATAAAAAAAAAGTCTGTAAAGGATGTATTATATTTCTATTTGTTACAGAATTTCTGACCAAACTAGGTATATTTAAGCTGTTATAAAAGATTATAACAAAACCACTAGATAGTACATTTTAAATAATAGTTTATTAAATTTAAGATTTTTCTTCAAATTTTTGAAGTCAAACAAAAAACACCATATTTTCTTTTTATTTTATTAACACTAATTTATTAGTCTATTGCAAATTATGAGAACTGTTACATTAATAATTTTGCAACGGTCAATTCTATCGTCTTATGAAGATTCACGACTAATATTTTACTTGCACCCTGCATCATGCTTACCAATCATCATATGAAAATCTACGTCTGACGATTCTACTTGCATCACACTGAAGATCTCTTGTAAGCTTACCGTCAATATTTTGCATTATTCTTCATTAATCTACATAATTAAAAATAAATCGCATTTTTTGTGATTTGAAACTCATACTTCCCAGTGTAAAAACATTAATAAACTTTTATAATATCATCTTTCACCCATATTTTCTTTTAGTTATTCCATTTATCATGAATAACGATTGATTTTTTCAAAAAGTTACAATATGGATTCATGCTTTCCGACTCTGGCTATTTCTCTTCAGAAAGTGAAAGAAACGTGCGTATTTTATCGATAAGTAATCTATTTGTTACGACTAGTTAGGACTAAAGCAAGCCAAAGTTGAGAGGAGAAAGCAAAAGCTGCAGTAAGTACTGTTCTTTCCTTCTTGTTTTTTAAAGCCGCCACAAAACATACATAATGACAACTACACCAACTCTTATTTTCACATATTTTATGTGAGATTGTCATTACATCGAAGATTCTTAATTACAATTTTTAAAGTGAGATTCTTTCCTCTACTGATTCCCTCTTTTTTTTAAGAAAAGATTTCCTAACTTTTGCTATGTTTCATATAATTTTTTTAAAAAATATTTTCAATGCATTTGAGTAGGTAATGATAATGTATTTTTTATAAAATATTATTTGCAAAAATTGAATTTATTAGATTACTATTAATTTATAATTATAAGGAATTTTAAACATATAAACAATGTATTTATAATTAGAGCAAATAAATCAGAACGCTCATTCGAGAAAACTCACAGTACAGAAATTCAATTTATAATTCATTTATATTTTCCTCGACCTTAAAATAAACTCTTTTTCATTAAGTTGAAACCAATAATAAATCAAACAAACCCGTCATGGAGAAGTGAATCTGATGAGTTGTTCTTTTTTATTTATTGTTTTAAACTTTGAAGATTCCGAGTCAACTAACAGTTGGCCACACAGGCACACATCTAAAATATATGATGATGCATCATGATAATTGGTAAGTGGGTAGGCTAATTTTATTTTTTTGGTGGGAATGCTATTTACTAAACGAAAGTGGACGGCACACTTGAAAGCTTTTGATCAAATATTGAATGTTAGATATAATTAAACATTTGATAAAAAAAAGTATAATTAAACAAAATCAAATTTTCTTATCAAAAGTTATATTTATTAAACCAACGTTTTATCTATTAAGTACTCGTGATCGATTGAGACGGCTAATCTAATTCGATAAGAGACATGCATTTGGTCATCGTGTAATTCATAACTAGTATGAATCTAGCTAAAAACACATACTATTATCTAAAAGAAACCATGTAAGTTATAATCGAGAAACGAACATAACTATCTGTATGACTATGCACTTTACAAATATGAATAAGCTAGCTAAGAAATTAACAATTTTAAATTATGATCCTAATCAATATAGACTTACAAACAAGTGTCAAGCCACAACAAAGAAAGGCACTACTAAACCATCATGTAATTCTTGATATTTAATAGAGGGTATTTCTC